TTAATGCATCAACATTGGACTAGCAGGAACTTATGTGTAAATAGATTTTTCTTTTCCCATTGGCCAACAAGCAGAATTTGGAAGTTATAACCACCATAAGTTTCTTGTAAAAATAGCAGATTTAAGGTTACTTAAGCATAGGTTTAAATAGAAGATTGTTAAAAACTGTAAAACTGTAAAACATGCATAATATGCATGGATATTATATTGCAGAACTTATGTTTTATCTTTATTTTTTTTAAAGTTCAATAAATAAAATGGAAAAAAAAGTGGGAAAGGAACAATGATATAATTTGCCACACATAGGGGTCATTCACACTTAGGTTTTTGAACAAAAAGATTAACATCTCTACATCGATTCAGAACCGATTCAGAATTGGTTCTGTGTTCCTACTACGTTTACTGCAATTGAATCTCTCCATGCCATTTTAACCCTGTTGCCATTCACATTTGCTACCATGTTAATGTAAAATGGAGGCACCTCCATTTCCAGGAACAATGCAGCACAATCTGAATCGATTTGGTAACGTGGTCACACTACTGAAGATGCAGATCATTGTAGCTTTTACAAAAAGAACTGCTAACGGGCCTGGTGCCAAATGCATTGGTTTAAGTGGGTTTTTCAGTCACCCCCACCCCTGCAAACTACACCAAGTGCAGTCAGGGTGAGTGTGAACTTCACAGAAATAAACTGGTTCTATACCAATTTATTTCTGTAGTGTGAATGCAAACATGCACCCCTTTTATTTCCCCTCTGAGCTTAACTGCAATTCTCAGACTGAGTAGTTGACAGCAGCATGAGGAATAATAGATTTTCAAAGCAACAATAGTTTGTCATGCAAAATGCTGTGTGGTAGCTTTGGTCTCAATTGGACAATTAGGACTAATTAACTTTACAAAAGACCAGTTCCTGGTGAAGATAAAAGTTGTTAGGTTGGGTTTATTGTGATGGATCGAGATATTTGCCTGTCTTATTTGATTCTTTTTGTGGTTTGGCTCTGGGGACTGTTATAAGCATCTTCATTTAAAAATTAGAAACCAGTCTATATTAACTAGGCTGTGCTTTGAGATCTTCCAGGGAGGTTTTTCTCATTGTCCCACACCACAGGTGCTTCTTAGTGTCTGCTCCCAGGCTCTGGAACTCATTTCCTAGAGAGATTAGACTGGCACCTTCCTTGCTTTCCCTTTGTAGGTAGATGAAAACATTTCTGTCTTCAGCAAGCCTTTGAGGGCTGATTGCTTTGGGGAAAGGCCCTTGTTTATATTTGTTGTTCTTTGTAAGCCATAATGAGTCCCAGACACTGGCAAAATGTGAGATATTAATATCATCATCATCATCACCATCATCTTACTAGTACACCACTGCCTAAGACAGTTCCCATTTTTGCTTTGAGTCCGGGAATCTTTCAACATGAGTTGACCCTGATGCTTCATCTCTCTTTTTCTGAAAGCAGGTGTGTTCACAGGTTTTTATCAGCACTTAGACACTGGCATCCTCAGGCAGCTGCCAAGGCCTCATCATGCTGGAAATAACCACTGATGGTAGATACCTCCCTAGATTCCCCAGTGGGAAACCACTGCTCACAATATTCCTGAAATAAAATTGCTTAAAACACTGAAAACTAAAAGGGTAGATTGCTTCTACTGCTGCTACCATCAGGTACACCTGTGTCCAGGAGCTCACTGACATAAGATGCAGCCCACTAGAGGACACTTTGGCAAGGTCCCAATCAAACTGGAAACAAGCCAGTTTAACCTCATCTCTGGAAACTGTGAACAAAGACATGGACTTAGAACAAATTGCAAAGAAGAGACCTAGGATTAATCTGCACTGCAGTAATAATGCAATTTGACATTGTTTTAAGTACCATGGTTCAATGCTATGGATTTGTAGTTTGTTATGACACCAGAGCTCTCTGACAGAAAAGGCTAAATAACTCACAAGACTACAAATTGCAGAATTCCATAGCATTCAACCATGGCATTTAAAGCGGTGTGAAACTGTATTATTGCTGCAGTGCAGATTAAACCCTAGTCCAGCTAATATATTTTCCAGATAACAAATTACATTGCCTATGGAATCTGGTGTTTTCTGTTTTTATGAGTTGTTTTCTTTTTACATGGAGCACCATGGTATCTTCTATTTTAAATACATGTTATTTTGCTTTCTAATTCTTTTCCGCACAGTTTGCATTTGGCCTAAGCACAGTACTGCTCCAGTTATATACTTCCGTTATTGTTTCCTTAAATTATTTGAGATTCATCTGTCTTGTATGGGTATATACAGACTTGCTGCTTCAAATAACCAAAATGGTGGAATCGTGAGGTTTTAAGTATTTTCCAGTGCTCTGTGTTAGCCTAGATAAGCACTCAAGCTGGGGAGAAGATTAAACAAGTAATCACATACTTGCATACCTTACCATAGTAAATGTGAAAGACTGGAGAATACTGCAAACTATTACCATGTGCCTGAAAATTAATGTGGTTGAACTCAGTGGGACTATGGTAGATTACATATGCATAGGTTTACACCTTTAAACACATATTTAGATACTAGTGGGTGTGAATGTATTAGTCCAATAACATGATAAAATACCTGAACAATGCTCTAAATTATGCTAAGCTATCTAAATCTAGAATTATTTCTCTAAATTAAGACAAGAGCTGAGACAAAACAGAGGAAAACTGCTGGTTCTAACAGCTGATGCATCCTTAGTCATTATTACTATAGATTGCCAAATATGTAATAATAACTGTAGCCCAGCAGCACTGACCTCAGGATTTTACATCCAGATGTGAAGGACCTCTTCTTCTTGCTGTCCATATCCTCACTTCTTGGCAGCTACCACAATTTGTACCAATAATGTTGAGAATTCACTTTCTTGGTAGTAAATCCCTCTCCCTGGAAAGCAGTGGAATGAAGAAGTATTCTTTTCCCCTCACTGAACAAAATAATTTATCTAATTATACCTCTTGTGTTACATTTGCCTATAAACAAATTCGTGCTTGCCACAGAAATTATAATAATACTATTTCAACATTACATACCCACGGCTGATTACAAAACAACAAAAGTAATGTTCTGACTAGCTAAAGAGAAAAGATTATATCAATATACATTTGTCAAGATTCTCTTAAGTCGGAATGGCACAACGGAAGTCACTGTTGCTGGTCAATCTGTGTTGCTGATATTTTTAAAGTTATCTTCCCTCCAGTGCTAATACAGAAAAGAATTTCATTTGGCTCATTTTCCAAAATTTGCAAATTCTTTGCACTCTTGATGTGAAAAATCTGAAATTTAAAAAGAGTAAGGAAGAAAAACTAACAGATTTCTATATATAAGGTTTTCTGTGATTAGTTCTTAAAAGTCTATATATAAGATTTTCAGTAATTAGTTCTTAAAAGTCTAACTGAATCCCTGTGTGTTCAGTTCAACCATGTTTGAATAAGGATTGTCACTTCTTCTTTCTAATAGACTCCTAATCTTTAAAAGATGCATGACAAGTATGTACAACACAATCCTCTCCATACTGGGAATAGCTGAATTTGACCCTTGCAGATCTCTGAGACTTTTGTTCTCTTTGCTATTGAGAAGAAACTGCTTTTCTGTAACTGTGATGGGGGGATTAGAAAGGTCACATGCTAAAGAAAGCAAAACTGACAATTTATTTTATTCATTTAT